AGAACCAACGTGAGGGAGTTGAGAGAAAGAGAGAGAGAGAGAGAGAGAGAGAGATCGAAGTGCAACGAGCTTAATGACACATCCGGAAGTCGAGCGAGCATTTCCGTTGTCGTTTTCATCGTCGTCTCGTTGTTACGAGAGAGAGAGAGAGAGAGAGAGAGAGAGAGATAGAGAGAGAAAGAGAACAAGCTATCCGGTCGATAAATATCACTCTCATCGGGTATCGAGTTCGTTTCGCCGCGAATTTCAACGCTCGTTCGCGAACTAGATGATTCTTGTAAAACGATGGGAACGAAAATGGAAGGAATATCTATGACAGACCATTTTGAAATGGTCAATGTTAGTTCACGAGCGAATAAATAATTGATATAGAAACGACGAAATATGTATTACATCGAGAATTCATTTGGTACGATCTATGCTCTTTCTCTTTCTCTCTATCTTTCTTTCTACGTTTCCTTTATTTTTCTTACTTTCTCGTTGATAAAACTTTCAAAGACAGAACGGAAATACGCGTGAGATATCGTATGGCTTTCGATATCTTCGATTTCTCACATTTCCACTTTCAAAGTTTTTTTTCGAACTTTTCTTTCGATTTTATCCTTTGGTCACTATAAAAAATAGTTTGAAACGAACTTATCGAAAGGAAACTTCCCTCGTGTTCTTAAACACGCTTTGTTACCTTATCCCATATTTTTTGATAAGGATTCAAGCTTAATGGGCTATGTACTATCCCCTATATATATATATATATGTGTGTGTGTGCAAAAAAATGCTTTCGTAGCATGCCTACGTGTTTCTTGAGAAAGGAGGAGAAGAAAAAAGAAAGGATAGGAGAAAGAAGGGAAAATCGTACCTTAATGGCATACATCACAGCGGGCAACTTATTTATAAGAAAATCGGCCGTATCTTACTTCTTCTCTCTCTCTCTCTCTCTCTCTCTCTCTTTCTCTTTATTCTTCTACCTCTTTCCTTTTATATTCCGCCTTCCGCCGTTCCACCGCAGCTTCGATGTAGGTCAATGGATGCGGGAATGTCTTCTAAAGGTGTTTTCGAGGCCGCGAAAGCGTCGATGTATAAGATTTCACATATATACTACTCAGAAGGGGAGGAAAAGGAAGAGAGAGAGAGAGAGAGAGAGAGAGAGAGAGAGAGAGAGAGAAACTCGCTGTTCGTATGCTTATCTTAGAAGATGTAAAAGGTTCGTTGTCGTGTGCAAAGCTTCGAATGGAAGCTACTAAAGTGCGAACATCCGTGTGAATTATACATATAGTCGAGATTCGCGAGACATTTTTTTATATGGCGAGTTTTATACAGCAAGTTAAAGTATCACTATGTTCGAATATCATTACGATTTTTTTTTCTTTTTCTTTTCCTTTTTTTTTTTTTTTTTTTTTTTTTTTTTACTTTTAACACGATATCGTTTTATTCTCTATCGTTTCATTTAATACATTATGTTTTGTATTTAAATGTTATTGAAATTTATTATACGTATGTTACGTATACACACGTCTGACTATTTTTAGATTTTACTACTGTAAAAATTTTCTTCTCTCTTGTTTTCTTTCCTTTCAGTTCCTTTCAGTTCCTTTCTTTCTTTTTTTCTTTCTTTTCTCTTCTCTTCTTTTCTTTTCTTTTCTTTTCTTTTCGTCTTCATACGACAAAACAAATAATGTACGTGCCTGACAGTTATTTCGATTTTTATTATTTTATTAAGATCGATTTGATTTTATACATTCGCACATTTGACCATTTGTTAAAATTTATTGTTGGAAAAGTTCATGGGAATATCAAATGTTTGGGAACATCATATGTTTTGTTTTTCCTTTTTTAACGAACGATGTTATTCCATATGGAATTTTTCACTTGATTGAGAAAACATTTTTCTACAATATCATAACTTCGATTCTTTTTTCTTTTTTTTTTTCCTTTCTTTTTTTTTTTTTTCTGGATTGCTATACAGTTCGTATCGATAATCGACAAATTGATGATGCATTTATTCTCAATTAAATTACTCAAAATGCAAAGTTAAAAGTCCTAAGGGTATACACCTTATATTATAACGTATTATAGTACGGTAAGACTTACTAAACAAGTTATGTCGATGGAAATATATGAAAATACTTCAGTGAAACTTTCGTCTATCTCATGGCCGGAAGCTCGTTTCAGTCGATGTATCTACATACGTAGGATAGTAAGCGTCGATGTAGTACTTATGCACTTTAAGCAAACTGCTCGAGGGCCATTTAATTTTGTGCGGAAAACCGAGAGAGAACGATAGCGAAAGTTAAGAAGTAAAATTTTCTAAAAAGTCCCTTGCTCGGTTGGTTGTAACGTAAAAAAGGGGGAGAAAAAAAAATAAATCGTAGGTATTTACAAATAACGAGACGTTTCGTTTTTCCAAAAGGAACGTAGGAAAAATTCCTATTTAAAGAGTTTCTCCACGTAAAGTAAAGTCAAGTCCCGTTGTTGTCGCCAATTTAATGACTTTCGACTCTTCGTTTATGAGACTTTGTTTATTTTTTTTTACCCTTTTTCCCTTTTTCCTCCCTTGAAAGAGTTCGCGCATCTATTTGTTTCTCTTGCAGTACCACTAACGGAGATAATACTTTCAAGCTAGAGATACTTCTCTTTCCGTAATAAAAAGAAACGACGAGAACGTGAACCGGGCTCCTCATTAAATTCTCCGTACCATTGTTCAAGACAATTCTAACTATCGTCATTTTCGAATAATTTTCGTGGAAAAAAAAACAACAGTTTTGGAAAGGACTAACAATTTTTTATTTTTATCTTCTTTTTATTTTTCTTTTTTTTTTTTTGTACAATGATTATCAAAAATATTATTGTTATTTTTGACAAATTCTTTTGTTCATTTTTAAGATAAAATTATCTGTTTCGATCGTTCGATCTAATAATAGTTTCTATTTTTAACAAGAATCGATATTGAATATATATATATATATATATTTGACCATGAACAATGACAATTCTATAGTATAAAGTAATTCATTGGATCGTCCATGATACGTGCTTGATAATTTGCTTGAATATTGCTTAGTTTTGGTTGAATATACAATGGTAAGACGAGTTATGTTATTCGATTAAAGAAGTTTTGAGTGAAGCTAACAAAACTTCATAAAAATTAATTAGATCGATATTTTGATAAAACTTATTTATTTTGTGTTTTTTTTTTTTTTTTTTTTTTTTATCTTTCTAAATATTTTTAATAAATATAAAAATGAATATTGTTCGCTCGTAATTTTAAACGAATTATTTTTACTCTTTGTTTTTCTTTTTTTTTTTTTTCTTTTTTTTTTTTCGATTTTTATTTTTGATATAAAATATCAAAACGGATATCCTCGTTGCGAGCGTAAATATATTGAATATGTATTATGCGGAAGCATGAAAGAGAACTCGGCAATTTATGTACGATAAATCGGATCGAAATGCAAATATTTTTGGGGATAATAGTTTGTCCCACGTTCTGCATTTCCAAAAAAGAGATCGAATATGTTAATGATCATTTGTTAATGCGATAAACCGTCGTCTGCAAATCATCGTCGTCGTACTTATTCGCTACGATTTTCCACCTAAACGTATTTGTTTCCTTACCTCTACGCGAAATAAAATGATACTAACTTAGGGAACATTTGGTTAGGGAATATTAACTTAGGGAATATATAGAAGATAAATATTTACGTAAATATATTTTATAATAAAATATCGCATGATACCAGGTAGATATTATTATAAAAATATAATTATATGTAATGAGAAATGTTATCGATCGGATGTTATCGATTATATTGAATGAATCGTTATTCTTCAACAATCAATTCGTCATCAAAAATTCTCTTTGATTGGTATTAATTCGATTCTTTCGATATAATAAAGATTGAAATTTTTTTTTTTTTTCTTATTTCAGTTTAGTTCGATCAAGATTTTGCAAGGACATTTTGAGTTTTCGAGAGTTCTTCTTACTTACGTTCATCTCTCTTTACGTCGTATCTACCTCGTTATTAAAGCTGATAATCCTGTGAAGCCGAAGGGAAAAGGAGAGGCGTGAAAATCACCACGTCGAGATGACTGGACTCAACGAAATAGAAAGATAGGAGGATACGTGTGTAGGTTTGAGAAAAATAAAAAGAGAGGGAGAGAGAAAGAGGCAGGGAGAGAGAGAGAGAGAGAGAGAGAGAGAGAGAGAGAGAGGGGCAGGCATATGGGACACGGTGATGTTCCCAAACGAGGAGGCTGGTAATCCTTTTACTGCTGCAGGAGAAGAGGCTTTGACACTGACGAGCTTAGTGCTTAGAGACTTTTCTAACCGTGTCAAGCCGGCCTAAGAGAGACGGCTGTGTCCCTAGTCTTCTTTCTCTCTCTCTCTCTCTTTCTCTCTCTCTTTCTATTTTCTATTTTCTCAAGGACGATCGGTCCGCAGACCTGATGCGTAGTGATCCGTTCATTCCTCTAAAGCTCTTGGTAAGCGTGTTCGCGATCGAAGCCATAGGTGCGCCAGTTTAAAAAGGATCTTCTACTCCATTGGCCCAATCCCTTCTTCCGTCGGCTATAGTTGAATTTACCATCGTAATCAAGCAAAGAAAAGAAAAGAAAAAAAAAAAAAAGAAAAGAAAAAAAAAGAGACAAAGACTCTTGATTAAAAAAAATTAAACGAATTCCCAAAGAATAATTATCGGTTGTATCGATTTCATGATTTCTTTTTTTTTTTTTTTCTTTTTTCTTTTAGATAGATCATCGAACTATTAGCTCAAAATTATAACGAGCTATATTTGTGTTACTTTCATTGTGATCATATGTTTCCTTTTCTTTTCTTTTCTCTTTTTTTATTTTATTATTATTATTTTTTTTTTCTTTTTCTTTTTTTTTTTTTTTGTATTTATTCGAACGAATTTCATCTTATTTATCTTTCAAAGGAAATCTATTAACATAAATATCGTTTATGTTTGTTTTGACAAGAAAGTTCAATAATCAACGTGTTTCAGCTCGTCGCTCATGAAAGAAGATTGTCGACCACGGCGTCGCGAACAATGGCCGCGATGAGCTTAGGATTCATCGTAATGGTCACGCCTTGGACGATTCAGGAAGTCGTTGCAGCTTGTACCGGAAGCAAGCCTCCGCCATTCCTTGATTTTCTTGCCACTTGGTTAGCACTTTCCAACAGTTTTTGGAATCCATTTCTTTACTGGTTGCTCAACAATCACTTCCGACGAATATCGAGAGAATTACTTTACACGAAGGTACGATGAAGAAAATAATATTTATCCAGATGTATATATAATTAATTCGACGTAATGATTTTTGAATGAAAGTTATTATTAAAAAAGAAAAAAATTATTTTCATTTCGAGACAAATAATTTATTATATTTATACTTTCGATCGATCAAATTAAATCGAATATTATACTTTTATAAGAAAAATGTCATTATAAATTAAAGTTAATTCGAGATAAGTCGAGAAGTATATTTACGGGATTAGGATTAACGTATGGACTTATATGTTTTTATAGGAGATATATGATTCAGTTTCTACATTTATTGTGGAATATTGAAATGGTAAAAGATTTTTCCATCGAATGCAAATATTTATTCTTCAAATTAATAAGCAGCGAGGAAAAGAAGTGAGACGCGTTTTCCATTAAAAGTGAAACTAGAATGAGAAAAATGATATTATTATTTTGCTATCATCCGTTAACACTACTATGGATTAATAAATTTTATCGATATTAATAGAAATATTATTGTTTCTCTCTTTCGTAATAGTAAAACTTTATTAAAATAGATATCAACGTTAAATCCAACGTATTTCCCTTATCTTCTCTCTTTTTTCTCTTTCCTTTTTTTTTTATTTTTTCTTTTTTATTTTTATATGAATAAATTTTAATCGTATACACGAATCATATTAATTTATTATTATTTTTCTCCTCGCGGTTTTTAATCGCGAAATTGTTGAAAATGTTTATAATAATATTCTTTAAAAAAAAAACATTGTATTCGTACGTATTAATTTATTAATTTGAAATAAACAATTGTAAATGTGAATTTATTGAAAGTTTTCGATCTGAATAATAGAGAATAATAAATACAATATCATTCATCTGTACCGTAATTATGAATGAGAGAATTATGCAATATCATATAGTATAAAATAAATCGATTTTTATCTTTCAATGGATTCGTTCGAAATCAAATTTGCTTAGGGAAAAATCTGTTACACTTTGATGTACCACGCGTAAACACGCGTCAAAACGCTTTTAAACAATATATTCTATTATTTTTATTCTTTTACCATTGTTATTTTTTGAAAGAGAAGAAAACTTAAGAAAGTTGGAATTGAGACAAAAGTCTCGACAATTTTTCTCATTTTATTTCTTGAGTAAAGAGAAAGAGAAATAAAGAGAGAGAGAGAGAGAGAGAGAGAGAGAGAGAGAGAAAGAGAGAGAAAAGAAACGAGAACAAACGTCGAAGGAAGAGAACTGAATAAACAAACATGAAAGACAAACAGAAGTTTAACTCAGACAGGAAGGAAATTCCAAGAGAATTTATTTAATCCGAAAGGGCGTTACCTTCGCTCGTTCACGATACATTTCGTGAGTTTAACGATTTAACGACAACCTTCCATGTTTTTTTCTACATCCTTTTCCTTTCGAATTCAGTCCGGGAAATGAGGAAAAAACAAGGAACGTTTCTCCTGTATCCTGGCTCTTTCTTTCCTTTTTTTTTCCTCTTTTTTTCTTTCTCTCTTTCTTTCTTTCTTTCTTTCTCTCTTTTTCTTCATCCAACATTCAGGACAATGCATCTTCCCCTTTCGACTTTGCAGGCCATGAATTCCGAAACGGTCGTCCCCTCATCGTAAATCTTTCATCTTTGGAAAACGTGCATCTCCTCTCCCTCTCTCTCTTTCTCTCTCTCTCTCTTTCTCTCTCTCTCTCTCTCTGTTACGTTGGTTTATACGGAGCCTACACGATCGTATCGCGTGCAGCGCTTGACAAGTGGTCTTGCGCCGTTTCACCAGCCGATTTATTTGTTCGCAAAAGTATAAGTGAAAGAGAGAAAAAGACAGAGAGAAAGAGATAGAGATAGACAAATAGACAGACAGACAGACAGACAGACAGACAGACAGACAGACAGACAGACAAACAGAAAGACAGATAGATAGATAGATGTCGATTGATTCTTGAAAAGCATCCTTCTCCATTTTATCAGATGAAGAATGACGTTTTCGTATGATTGAAAAAAAAAATAAAGAAAAAGAAAAAAAGAAGATAAAATAGCATGAAATATGATTCATATAAAAAAAGCCTGTCCGTTTGTCGTTTCGATTTATTAACAAAATTATCGAATGATAATTCGTCGATCGATTCATACGTTCATACTTTAATATTTTTCTCCTTCTTTTTTTTTCTTTTTTTTTTCTTCTTCTTTCTTTTAGCTTCTTTGCAGATCAAAGCCATTGGGACCGAAACAGCATTGTTGTGCTACTAGTACCGGTGGCCTTGACGTATGCAGTATCAGTGGAGTAGATTTGTCGGGTACGAATCTATTTTTCATTTATTTATTTGTTTATCTTTTTTTTTTTTTTTTTTATATTTATTTATCTTTTTTTTTTTCTGACGAAACCTTTATGTTTTTATTCGTTCGTCGCGTCCAATGCTTATTGGGGAAAGTTATCTTCGATAAAAAAAAAAAAAAAGAGAGGAGTAAGAGAGTTGATAGAAAAAAACGTTTTGAATATTTCCGATCGCCAAGCTAGAACCAATACCGATGCTATTAACGAAATATACGAATATATATATGTATATGTCACGCCGACGCTTGGTATGGAAACAAAAAAAAGAAAAAAAGAAAAAAAGGAAAGGAAAAAAAAAAAGAACTCGAGCGTTGTTGGTAAGAGCAGAGAGCTCGTTTACGCGAGCCACATTATTGATTCTCTCCTACATGTCTGGTCTATTTCGTGCAAAGTCACGTCCTCGTCGTGGACGTTAGAAAAAATTCAAAGGAATTTTGTTACTTGACGAACGTATTAAAAAAATCTTTCCCTTTTACGAATTGATTCGACCGTAAAGTATCACTAAATAATTATTAATTTATTAATATATATATATATATATATATATATATATATATTTACATGTATACGTATATTAATATAATCGTTGGAATAGTTTTATACGTAAAATATTTTTCTTTATAATTGTCAGGATGATTATTTGCGTATAGTAACAACGTATTTAAGAATCATTGGAAATATAACAAATATTTGAGATATCATCAAATTCGTATTTATCGAATGAAAAATACGATTGAAGTATTAATAAGAATTTACATTTGGATTTTCTTTAATCCACGTCAAGACAATTTTGGTCGAATCGAATTCGAGAAGAAAGTTTGAGTTAGTTTGAATTAGTTTGCGATTAAACGAACGATTTGCTCAAACTGATAATAGTTTCGCATGGATCGCGTGAGAAAATGATCGAGCAACAAGTGTCATTGCATGGGACACAACGGTATATACGTAACCTACATGCGTTTTATACAAAGAGATTCTTGTTTTAGGATTGGAACGTTGTTCAATGGATCGATGTTCCATGGCGAGATGTTCGTCCTCGTCTTTGGCCAACAATCCATCGCCACTTCCATGGGAAACTGGACATATGATACGGGGTGACGTTACGCCCACGTGAGGTCCGTCAGATAATTATTAATGATAAGTTTGTTAATTACGAAAATCAATTAAGTTATGGATATATTTATTTTGGTATATTTGTCTTCTTTTTTATTTATTTTTTTTTTTATTTTTTTTCTTCCTTTTTTTTTCTCCTTTTCCTTTTTTCTTTTTTGCTTCTTTACAATCCATTGGATCAATTCATAAATAAATTCTATTATAACTCGAGAACTTGTTACATATGAAAAAAGGATTTATTTATGGATCAATCCAATATTCGATAGTCTTTCATTTAAGTCACTTTTTCATAATTATTGGCAAAATTAACTCGTCGACGATAAATCAGTGAAATTTGCTTACTCGTTAATCCTTATCCTAACATTTTCTATATTCATTTATTTATTGAGACGAGTTTACGAAGATGTTAACTAAATTTACTAATTGATCGATAATATTGATCGATTTAACTTCTGTCAACAATTAACGTTCGTGTCAAATGGCACATATTTATTCGTTCTATGAAACGAGTAAATATATATATAAATATATATATATATATATATCGTTTATATATGTATTTATAAACGATAGATGTGCAAATAGACGATGAGAGATTAATTAGCTGTGAAAAAAAGAAACGAAAATGAGATGGTGGAATATTGGTAATATAATAAAAAAAAAAAAAAAAAAAAAAAAAAAAAATTTGTTGTCAATAGGAAGGGATGCCGCCACGCAAACAGACGATCCTGGATCACCGGATCATATCAGTTAGTATCGCGTGGCGGCAGGATTTCATCTGCTGATCCAGGGACAAGAAAGACGAAGAAGATTCTACGATGGCGAATGTTCTTCGATCTGGCCGACGGTTTTTGTCCCATCGTTAGGAGAGAGTTCACATCAAGACAGATCTACTTCTACTTCTTCTTATCACGAGAACAATGGGACGATCGAAAGCTCGAAGACTCGCCAACGTTCGCAACGAGAGAGACGCGTCAAATACGCGAGCTTTCTCAGCTTACCCGATCTTGTGCCGGACGAATTTTAGAAATGACGGAAAATCAAACAATTTTATCATAGAAATTAAAATATGTTCTTCTTATTTTTAAACAAAGAGAATGTAGGTCAGAATTTATCGGATAAAAAATAATATATATATATATATATATATATATATATATTATATATATATATTCGAAGGAAATTCTCATTCTGTTTATCTTCTTTTTTTTCTTTTTTTTTCTCTTACGAAAGAGAAGAAAACGTAGAAGAAGATTTTATGTCGGACGAATGTTAGACGAGTCTTTCATTTATTCTTTCTTCTTCTTCTTCTTCTTCCTTTTTTTTAATTCTCCTTTTTTTTTTTTTTTTTCTTTAATTTTACAAAGGAGAACGTAGAATAACATCATTTGCCAGAGAAAAATGATAGAAAATTTTTCATTTTCCTTTACTTTCGCGAAGAGAGAAGGAGGGACCGAGGGTATGCAGGATAGAGAAAAAAATTCGAAGGAAGTTCTCGTTCCTTCTTTTTTTTCTTTTCTTTTTTTTTTTTTTGTCATTACTCCGTGAAGTAGACGAAGATCTTTTGTCAGGACGAATTTTAAGAAAATTACGAGGAGATTAATGATCTTATAAAAAAAAAACAAAAAAAAAAAAAAATATATATATATATATATAAAATAAAATAAAATAAAATAAAAAATAAAAAGAAAACAAAACAAAAAAAAAATAAAAAAAAGAAAGAAAGAAAACAAAAAAAAGAACAAAACGAAGAGTTTCATTTTTCTGCTCTTTTTTTTTTTTCTTTTTTTTTTTTTTTTGAGAACTAAAATGTAGGACAATGGATCTATCGAGTGACAAAATTCGTAGATAATTTTCCTTACTTTTTCTTTCTTCTTTATTACTTTTCTTTTTTCTTTTTCTTTTTCGTTTTCTTTTTAGCGATGGAATCGTGTACGATAGAAATATTGATTTTTTTTTATTTCTTTCCTATTTTTATGAAGAAGGAGAACGTAGAACAAGATCGGGTCCGCGGTGCCTGAACAGAGTACGGAGAGATCACGACGATAATAAGTGTCGAAATAAGTGTCTCTCTCTCTTTCTCTCTCTCTCTCTCTCTCTCTCTCTTTATTTATATTATGAATCTCTCTCGTGAAAGGAATTATAAAACGCACAATGTACATTTCTTCGAGTATGTAATATTAAAAATGCAACGGAGAACAACGTTGTAATTAGTAAATCGTAATTCGTAATTCTATGCAATCTCATGTCTTAAATGAGTCGTCGAGGCCATTTAAAAAGCAGTCTTCAAGTTACTAATCAATGTAAATCGTTTGTGGAAATCATTTTTTAGGAAATAATAAAGAATCCTATGGAAGTATTTAATTGATTCTGTGATATATCGTTAGGATTTATCCTCTTATTAATTTTATCTTGTAATAGTTGTAGAAATTCAATTGATTTAGTTTCGATTAGTTTTCTTCATCTATTTTTTTCTTTTTTTTTTTTTTTTTAAAGCCCTTTTTTTTTTTTTTTTTTTTAGTTATTTTCTTCTATTTCTCTTTTACTCTTTCGAATTTATACAAGTACGACGATATTCGCGTAACTTCGAGCGTTATCTAACAGAAAAAGCTTCGAACTAGCATTGAACTAGCATCTACCGTATGAAAGTAATGCATGCTAACCAGTGCATTCGTGCATAAGCTGCTAGATAGCGCTGAATATAAATGTAGATAAATGCAGGTACACAAATGCACATATTATACGTATAGAATTTTCTTTATGTACAACAAGTACGTAGGAATATTTCTTATCGTTAAAAGTTTCAAGATTCAAATACATCTGAAAGATGATACAAACATATGATTAGATTAGGTGTCAATTTTTTTTCTTTTTTTTTTTTTAAATATTGGAATTTCTTTTCATTTAATAATTATCAAGTAATACATTCAAGTATATTCAAGGATATTTTTTATTTAGAAAGTAACCGAAGTAAGTATTTACATATCGGTGTATATTATAGTGTTATTGTTTAATTAAGATTCTTTTTTTTTTTTTTTTTTTTTTTTAAAGAAATAAGAACGATTAAATATTTATTTATATAAATTTGAATTGCACATTTGTGCAATTAAAAGGCGACGAAAAGATTACGATGGATTCTCGTTTTGTACGCTCGTAATTAATATGTCGTTTAAAAACGAAAGATATAACATGGATAGTATATTCATAGTAATAAATTTTACGAAAACGTTTGTGTAGAATTTATTACTATGAATAAACGTGTGAATAAATGTGTTTATTTATAAAAGATTGTGATTAGCGGATATTTCATTATAGATGCAGCAAAAAAAAAAAAAACCCAATAAATTTGTTAAATGAGTTGTCTCGTAAGAAAATATATGCAATGACAAACGATTCAAGGTTAATAGATTTTCTCATAAAAACATCGTAATATTTTTTTTATTAAAATCTTTCTTTTTTTTTCTTTTTCTTTTTCTTTAGACAAACAGGAAAGACAAATATTAATAAGCTTTTCATAATATTGATGGATGGATAAAAACGAATTATTTTTTTTTTATTCGAATCAGCTTCTACTGCGTTATATTGTAGATAAACATGTGTTGGTTTTTTTTTTTTTTTTTTTTTTTTTTAATATATTCGTATTCTCTGATTAAAAAAAAAAAAAAAGAAAAATAAAACTTCATTCTTTTTCATAAGTCAATGATGATCGTTTTTATATGTACATTATAATATTTAGGCGTGAAATTTTAATTGATCAACAAAAAAGACATTCTAAAGATTTAAACGTTTATTATCTTGTATACATCTTTATCATTCATAAAAACAGAATTATCAGAGGAATTCGAGAGATTGCGATTTACAATTAGTCTATACATTTTTCTCTTCGGCGGCAGTTTACAGGAAAAATACATGTTAATTAGAATGATAGTCCGAGTATTTAACGAGTATCTTTTCAATGACATCGCTTATTTTCTAAGAAATCCGATTTTTACATATGTACTCGTTGTCGGTCGTCATTTATCTCGGACAGATAAATTCTCCGCTGTGGTGTAAACGCGTGATATGAAATACGTTTGTTTCTTTCTTTCTTCCTTCCTTTCTTTCCTTCTTTCCGTTTTTTCTTTTTTCTTTTTTTTTTTTTTCTTTTTCTTTTTCTTTTTTAGAGAAAATTTAACATCTTTTCGATTACGTTACACACTCATGTACACGCAAAAATATAAATCTCTGGAATAAAATTGTCCCACAGTGAAGAAATCGACTGTATTTTCTTTTCTTTTTTTTTCTTTTTTTTCTTTTCTTTTCTTTTCTTTTTTATGTACATAACATCGTATTTTTAACCTTTTCTTTTTTTTTTGTTTTTTTTCTTTATTAATTTTCTTTTCCCTTTTTTTTCTTGTTTTTGTCTCTTTTCTTTTTCTACTTTTGCGAAGGTGTTTTTTTTTTTCTTTTTTTTTTTTTTTTTTCTCGAGAGAGAGAGAGAGAGAGAGAGAGAGAGATAGATAAAAAGATATCCGGACGATCGTCGTGCCAGAAGATAAAAGATCTATTGAGAAAAATGTAATACTCACAACCATCTCAATTTTTATTCGATAATTTTAATCCTCTCATGTGGTTTTCCTTTTTGTTTGCAAAAAAGTAATCTACGAAAACGGCCTATGGTTTGCGCTGGGTTCATCAACTAAATTCCCCGACGTCTATAGCCGTTTAATTATAGACGATTTTAATTTGTTTTCTTTTTTTCTTTCGTTTTTTTGTTTTCTTGTTTTTTTTCTTTTTTTTTTCTTTTTTTCTTTTTTTTTTTTTTTTTTTTTTTTTAAATCTATCAACATATTATTTTACATACATCTCGTATATAACAACGAAAAGAAACAAGTTCGGTCCCCGTTGCTTATCGTTAGAGGATTTTTTTTATAATTTACTTTCTTACAGGGATGGCACATGTGTACTCAAAGACGGAAGTTATCGATAGTACATACTTGTATGTTCATATAAACACACATATATGTTTATACATGTATAATATATATATATATATATATATATAAATGCGACTTGTCGCTTTAAACAAAATTAAAACTGAAGTAATCGACGGTGAAAGAGTATACCCTGCATGCTAGGAATGATAATTTAATTAAAGTGTATAAAAATTTCAATAATGAATTCTCTTAATATTCATTGTTTCGTGAACTTTTGGCCGATCATAAAAAAATTTTTATCGTTGATGACGATTACAAATTAGTTTCTTGTTCTACCTTTTGTTTTTTTAATTCAATAATTTCAAATAATCAGAGAATGGATTTATAGCGCGTAATAAACTATATAAGAATTGAATGTATGCGTTTCATTTATAAAAGCGCGATGTGGAAGAAGATTATTTAGAAATCTCTTCTCTTCAAGATACGCGAGGATTTTCGGCAATTCGAATCGATTATTATATGTCAAACGTATAAGATTTTATTTTCGCTCTTTTTTTTTTTTCTTTTATTTTATTTTATTTTATTTTATTTTCTTCTTCTTTTTTTTTTTTCTTTTTTCTTTTTTTTTTTATCGAATAGAAATCCTACAGGACGATGGCCGAAATCAAGATAGATTCCATGGTACACATTCAAAAGATTTGAAACGTATTTTTGTTTTAAAGTGCGCGCTTATACACACTCACGCACACACGCACACGTACACAAACGTACTTTCACACATACGTACTCGCATTAAAACGCTCACATTCGCTTTGAAGTTTTTAATACAGAGAGTAAAACTACTTATTAAACATTAATAATATCTGTACAAAAGTATAGATTAAGTGTCTTTTTGTATCTATACAAGACAGGCTGACGTTCGTCGAACTACGTACGCATTAACGTCTGTCTCTCGGTATAATATAAAATTCATTATTACTTCCGATCGTGTTTATCTAATCGGAATATTAATTAATTGAATTATACGTTTTTACTTCTTCCTTTCTTTTCTTTCTTTTTTCCATTTTCTTCTTCTTTCCTTTTCATTTTCTTTTCTTTTCATTTCTTTTTTACTTTTCTTTTTTTTTTTTTTTCTTTTTTTCTCCCTTGGAATGTATCGAGAGAAGATGCTTCGATGCAAATTATCAATCTGTTTAAGGGCGAAACGCAAAAGCGTAATCCTCTCGAAGCGATTAGAATACGTACGATCGTCTAAGACGATTATTATTATTATTATTATTATTATTATTATTATTATTATTATTAATTATTATTATTATTATTATTATTATATTATTATTATTATTATATTATTATTATTATTATTATTATTATTATTATTATTATTAGTCTCTACGTGTTTAGAATAAAAACGAAAGTGAAACGTCTAGGTTTATTAATACATTCATGATAATTAATTACGATCATTTTAATCGTTCCCTTTTTTCTTTTCTTTTCGTCACTTTTCTTCTCTTCTTTTTTCTTTTATTTTTTCTTCTTTTTTTTTTCTTTTTTTTTTTTTTTTTGGTTTTTCATACGCAAGCCTTCTCTCTTCTATACGCATAAAAATTCATCTTTATTATATATACATATACATATATGTATATATATATAAATTTCTTTTTTTCTTTTTCTTTTTTTGTTTTCGTAAAATTATTTACACCTTATCCATTAATTCGCGTAGAAGTTTAGGATGTTGACTTTATATAATATTGTCGAACCAACGACCCTGTGTGATTCCTTAAAATTCGTCGTACATATATAAATATGTACGAACGTTTGGACACACGTGTCTTTGCCGTTTTATCCTTCTCCCTTCTACATGTCTTTTAAAAAACACTTCGATATGACTCATTGTTTCTCACTTACAAGTTTGTATGTTAAGCGTAAAAAGGAAAAAAAAAAAAAAAAAAAAAAAAAGATAAAAAAAAATAAAAATAATCATTGTACAACGAAGATGGAGGTACATACATATACATAAATGCATCATCTCACTTCGCTCTTAAAAATTTTACGGGAATGTTAATAAGTTTATGATGTATAGAATGTTAGATTCATTTCACGACGTTATTCATTCGCGTTGTAAAATGTTTAAGAATATATCCGATTCCTTAATAATATATAATATATATATATATATATATATATATATATATATATATAATATATAATATATAATATATATATAATATTTAATATATATATATAATATATAATATATATATATACATATTCTTCGCACAAAAATAACACTATAAGGATTTCATTGTAATCCTTCAGTCTAAAAGAAGAAAAAAAAAAGAAGAAAAAAAAAAAAAGAAACTAGTAACAATAAAATCAATCAAAACGAGTCATTTCTAAGACTGTATTAAAGAATTAGAAATGTTTCGCGTATTTCTAAACGAAAATCTTTTAGCTTTTTATGTTTTAATATATCGAAACGGAATATTAAAGAAACGATTTAGACTGAAATAGAATTTACCCGTATGCTTGAGAGCTAAGGTATTAGCTTAGAAGAATGTATTTTTTATCGGGTCGAAGTTTTTCGAAGCTTAAGGAATGCAACGAATATTTTCGACGTTCGATGTTTTGTGTGTATTTGTGTGTGTGTGTGTGTATTTGTGTGTTTGTGTTTATGTGCGTTATGTATGTATATGTATACCTTCTGTATAAAACATCGTGATTCCTAAACGCATAACGCAACTACGATGATGAACGATCATTAATATATTGCCGTCTTATCGAGTCAGATGATCGTAAAAAAAACGTACTAGATTCGACGACGTCATATCATCTAACGACGAAAGAGAGATACGCGATTAAAAGAATAATTGCTAAGTTTAGGCCGAAATTTTTTGCTGATGAGCAGTAAAGATTGTCTCTGTGATAATAAGTTGCTGGTGGATGTTCATCGCCAGGTTTACACCATTCGCCTCGAGCTTTTAATTCGGCCTAAAAGTGATTGGACAGATTAATAATATGATTGATAAAAAAAAAAAGGATAAGTCTATTTGTATAGAATCATTATTAATATAGTTTTATTCTAATTGATTATAGACCAAATAGAAATGCCTTACTTGACATATATCTTTACAGGGTGGACATATTAAAGCTCCTTTATGTAGCCAACCATTTTGAATTATTCTGATTGCTATTTCTTGTCCGGCATGATAGCAGGTATAAGTATAGTTTGCCACCTAAAATGAAAGAAATGACATTTAATAATAGATAGTGATAACGTATCCACGTGCAATAATAAATATTCTCTGTCTTCGCCAGTGAAATTATTAATGACTTAAGATAATTGCTCATTAAGGTATTCCACCGACCATAATATGCAGACGGCCCGTCTCGCATTTGTATTGATAGCAACCAGAGCCCCAATGTTGCCATTGACGTGCCAATTTGCACGTTCTCTCTTCCCACATTTGATTGGTATGATCGAAGCATCTCGAGTGTGATCCGTATTTCTCAAGAGCGAAATTTTTTTCTGGATCTAATGTGAAAACGTGAAAAATTTTATATAAAATTTGAAAGAAAATTTTCAACGTGAATATTTTATAAATATACGTCTCTCATATACATTATTATATACAATATTATATCAGTTATTATAAATTTTATATATTTACGTGGATTGTTATCATCGTAAAGACAATGAGATCCTCTGACGACAATGTTTCGAGCTCGCCACGTAAACTCTTGGATATAAGGACAATAATCTGCCAGGGATACTGAACCACCATAGTATTGTTCTTCTCCAGGTGGTACGTGTGGAATCGAATCGAAATTCTATTGAAAATGAGAATACGATTGTTATGATATAATTATAATTTAAATACAACATTTATGTATAAATATATAATGTATATCTACCTGATATTTTTTTGGTAACGGTTGAGGATGTTTTACCAAATTGCACAAAGCTACGGAACTTCGATCATCTGTACACTCGGTTTGCAATGGATCTTGCTTCACTTTATTGCAGAATGGATGAATCGATTTTCCCCTAAAAAAGAAAAGAAAAATCTTAGGATTAGATAATAGACGATACAAACCGTAACGAGATCACGTTCAATGATTTCGTATATTTTTCCAAAGTTCTCTCAGCTTTTCATCTCAAAAATTTGTATTACTCACTTTTGCACTCTGCCGTTATTCCGATATCTCGAAGAAAGAGATTTGAGAAAAGAGATATAGAGTTATTTCTTCTTTTTCTTTTTTTTTTTTTTTTTAATTTAGAAAACAGACAGAAAAAAATTGATAATTTAATCATCTCGCGAGGTAATAATAAACATTTGTTTCTTATAAAACTTGTATCAGATAGAAAATAAAAACGGAGAAGGGAAGTGACAAAGGGATATTAAAAAAAAAAAGAAAAAAAATAAAGAAAAGAAAAAAGAGAAGAAAAGAAATAGGAAGATGGATTTATTTCTATAAATCATTAAATGGAGGATCTCAGATATCTCAGGCAACCATTTTACGTGAGTAACTACAGTCGAGTATTAAAGTGCACGATAATCAAGTTTCTTACGCTTTGAACAAGCAAGAAGCAAGAAAATTCCGACGATGCTTTTAACGAAATAGGCTTTCTTTCGAAGATAAACACGAATTACAAGGAAAAAGAATTCACGTTTTACCAGGGATAAGATTTCAATGTGAAAATTCAAAACATGATTGTTTCGACGATAACCATTCGTATATGGGTGTCGACGATTTAAATTCAACGATGATACTTACGATAAACGTGATGATTTCGAGGATATCCATTCCTTGCAGGATTTCATAGCAAAATCGCAACCTAAGCGCCTTCCCCAGCCGAGTTCTTGCGCCATCGAATAATTCGCACTGTACCAACCGGTGTCCTCCATCAAGGCAAGCGTAATCCTCGAATAAACTGGATTTTGAGTGTGCGTACCAGTCATAGCTTCGTTCTGTCATAAAATAAAGATTCTTTATTATTAATTATTTTACCATTTTGTCAGATAATATAATAATATTTTTGTCCTCGTAAATTGATCATAATAATTTTCTTAAAGCATAATCAATCGAAATATTATTAAATTACGATGAAGTTTTAAAACTGTTTAACACTTTGCAGACGGGGAAGGATTGTAATTAAAGTTTGGAAATAAGATTATTCGTAAAATGGATCTTCCCTGTTTTTTTTTTCTTTTTCTTTTTTTTTTTTTTTCATGTTTACAAAAGTGACAAATAAAAATTATACGTAATTAGTCAATTTTTTCTTTTTTATCTACAAAGTTAAATTCTTTCAAATCAATAACATTCTTAAATTATCGAGTTGATTCAATTTGCTATACATTCTTAAACCATGGAAAATCATGGCCCTTTAATAATATAATATGTTAATAAGAGTATCGTAATAAATGATCATATATATTTTATTCGTTTGCATTGTAAATATTTCTAAACAAAAATGAGAAATTATTGAAAAGAATAACTTTTACTTTGTGGATCAATTAAATTGCGTTAAAAATGATATAATTCGAATTTCGAAATATTACCAACCTCGAAGACCCGCTTTTCCCAATGCGTCAAGGCCGTCCCATCCTCACCCTGGTCTTCGAGTTCTGCACCCTCCAAGTTCGGGCAATTGAAATGTGCTTGAACTTCGGCACGAACTCGTGGCGTTACGATCATTTGCATCGACCTCTCGACGTAACCACCGTGCACTTGCCAATATGGCCTCGTTACGGTCTTGATCGTACTCTCGCTCCACTGATGCGTTTGCAATCTGCGCACATGCGGTAAATTATTACTTCTTCTTTCCTCTTCTTTTTTGCTTTGTTTTTCGTCTCCCTCCCTCCCTCCCTCCCTCCCTCTCTCCTTCCCAGTCTTCTTTTTCTCTCATTAATCGGGTTCGTTAATTAAGGTCTTTTCGCGAGAGTAAAAGAAAAAAAAAAAAAGAAAAAGAAAAAAAAACCAGAAAAGCAGAAAAAAGGACTAGCTTTGTCTATCTCTCGTTATGGAATTAATTAAAACGAACTTTTCTTCCCCTTTACGTATATGAAATTTGTACTTCGAAATTTGAATAAAAATTAAGTTTTATCGTCGACAAATGTGATGTTGAAAGGGTGGGGAAGGGGGAAGGGAGAAAGGAAGAGAAAAAATAAAGGATCTAAAAATATTTCAAGTATTGCAAGGAGATTGATAAGACAGGCGTATTAATGAAACTGATATCTTGTTATCTATGGAGAAAAAAAATATATATATATAATATATATGTATGTATATATATGGACATCTTCAATAATTTTTCTAATCATCTACTCTAATCTCTAGTGACACGTGTATATCTGATATCATTACGTGTAGAACCATTGGAGCATTGAAAATATCGTATCCTACGTGACAGGCATACTGGTGGTTCGAAAGTCGATTAAAAACCTCTGGAGATATCCGGAGAGTAATTTAATCGCATTCCTATTGCTCTCTCTCTCTCTCTCTCTCTCTCTCTCTCTCTTTCTCTCTCTCTCTCTTTCTTTTTATTTTTCGAACAGAATGATTGATACAGCACGGTAGTAGAAGGCTGTTTTCGACAGCGAGCCAGCCATCGCTTTTCATATTTCGACATGACGGATGTATCCGTGAATGGTCATTTCACGGAATACGAACACGAGGTGAAAAACATTATTACATTTGAATGTATACTCTCTTTCTCTCTATCTATCTATCTATCTATCTATCTATCTATCTATTATTCTTTCTCTTTCTCTCTATCTATCTATCTATTTATCTATGTATAATTCTCTCTCCTCCTTTTTCTATCTATCTATCTATCTCGTTCGTTTATATCTTGAAACGTTTACGAAATAATGGAAGAGCTTTGTGAAAATGAAAGGATATCGATCGTTGTCTAAAATTGTAAATGAATTGTTCTTTCGAGGAATTAAAAAGAAAACAAAAAAAAAAAAAAAAAAAAACAAAAAACAAAAAACAAAAAAAAAAAAGAAAAAGAAATGTAATATATCGTCGACTTTTAATAAGAAAATTATAATACTCAAATAACAACAGACGACTTATCAATGATCAGATTTATAGAAACATTTACGAAATATCATATAAATCGAACGTCTTATATTTGTTCAGCATTCAAGAAATACACAAAAGGGGAGTTACATATATACGATAAATCTTATAAAAATGTTTATCCGAAAGATACTTTTCTTCTTATAAATATCAAGGTAGGATATTGATAGGAAAGTAATAGAATCAATCGAATAAATATTTACTTGGATAATAATTTTCTTTTGATATTTAAGAAAAACAAACGATTAATTTCATTCTCATCTTAGTTGTTTGTTATTAATAATAAATTCGTTTATTGAAAAGCTAGATCTAGATAATACGAGATAACGATATTCAGTATGGGGTTTTTGTTGGAAATGGTATCGTTAAGTTGAAAGATAAATTTCTTTAATTGCAAGAGATACGAGAAAATATATTTCGCGATCCTTTAAGGCGTTGATATAGAAAATATTAAAAGCATATAGACGTCGAGAATAGAGGGTTGAATTTTTAAAAGTGACGAGATGTAAAGTAGGGAAAAAGGAAGGAGAGAGAAAGAGAGAGAGAGAGAGAGAAAGAGGGATGATACACAAAAAATGAAACTAGAGTGGAAAACGTGAAAGAGAGGAAGAGAGAGAGAGAGAGAAAAAAAAAGGAAATAGCAAAAAGCACGATGGTAGCAACGACGAGTTCCTCGCTGGAACGGTTCGTTACGGTTCGTCGACTATAAGAAAGCGAGGAAAGCTGGAATTTTCCAATTTTAAAGGCAGATACACGGGAAAGATGGTGGAAGATCCAGGAGGAAGAAAGAGTTAGGAAAAAAGAGATGAAAGAATGTCGTCAGGTTGGATGATGGATCGTTTTTAACCACCGACGACATTGTTTCCTTTTTGTTTCTTCCTTGGGAATCAGATAGAAACGTCAAAGTAATCTACGTCCCTATGTCTTTCATTTCTATTCGTGTTTTGTCATTTCATACGTGTTCAATATATACTATTAACATTCGTATAGATTTTCAATTAAAATCTGTTAGAATCAATTAGTTCAAACTAGAAATTAGTAGAAATAATTGATTACTATAGGATTCATCAATCATCGATTAAGACTGCTAATTTGTTGGGTCAGTGTTTTTAAACATTTATGATAAAATAACAGTGAGTAATATAAGTGACGCAATACTGACGTTTAATTATTTATACTGATCCAAATATTTGTATATATATATATATATGTGTGTGTGTGTGTGTGTGTGTGTGTTTGTGTGTGTGTATTGACCATTTATTTCACGATATAATTACCATTAATTAATAAAAGTATTATGATTATATAAATAGTAATAAGTGATCGATTAAACAGGGAAATAATTTATTTAAAGAAACATTTTCGTTTATAAAATAAAAGAGAAAAAAATAATTTTTTCGATGAACGTTCCAGTCATATACATCATCGTAAAAAGAGTATCTTATTATCCATGTTATATATTTCATTATTTTCTTTTTCCCATTCTTTTTTTTTTTTTTTTTTTTTTATACTCACTTTTCGTTCAACGGAGGCTTCCCGGTGTCACTTCTTCTCGGTGTTCTTGGCTCACCGTTTTCATCCCTGTAAAAGGCGTAAAGACTGACGGAGAAGCCCAAAGCGTGAAGAATTTCGTGTTTGACGGTGCTCAACAATGTTTCAAGTTCCTGAGGCTTCGTACTGATACTGCCTGGGCAAAGATTTGCGTGTCCTGCGATAGGTCTGAAAATAACATCAAATATTCAAAGAATTAACAATTAAGAAATTTAAAGGGACGTATCCCTATATATATATATATTAGTATCATTCAATGGATAATTTCTCTGTTTCTCTTCTATAAAGTTATTACGAAAATAGAAAGACGTTGTTGTAAGAGATCGAATTTGATATATTATTCGTCACACGTGCCTCTGACGTATGAATTCAATTCACTACATTCGATCGATAGAAGAAATCGTAATGCTTTTGAAATATTCACGGAAGTTTGATAGATTGCTTTGGAAATATTAAATCACGTGGAACGTTCGATTCTTCTCTCGTTCTATACATACGTCCTTTACCGGAGGTAACTATATTGTTGAAGTAAAAGCTTTTCAATGGATAAATCGCGAATTGAAATTTCTCGCGACAAACATATACCTCAATAATTTGTTCTCTACTGTATTATATATTTTGTTGATATATACGTATGTTTTTCTATGGAGTATCGGGAGAAAAAAAAAAGAATATACACACACACACACACACATACATACACATACATACATACATTAATTAAATCGATCGACGATGACTTATATTCGAAAATATTATTTTTTTATACATTTTACATATTAGATGTTACATTTTTAAACGAGAACGATGACTGATTGGAAATAAAAGTTACGATAAAAAAGTCAAAAAAAAAAAAAAAAAAGGCGGGAGGGTGGAAAAAAAAGAAGAAACGTTGGTAGAAAAAAAAATGTTCGATATAAGTAGTCACATTATCTGATAGAAATAATTTTTATTTCGACGAAATAATGGAAGAGATTTTAAGGTCAAGTTAATTTCCTTAAATATAAATTTATATAGTTTCATTCATAGTACAATAATGGATTTATTGAGACAAATTTAATGACCTGCTATATCGTATCGTTTCGTGTAGTAAGGCAATAAATTAGTGAGATTGAGAAATCACGTCAACGTGTATTGTACGTGACCTATTCAATCGATAATATCATAAATGTTACACCGTACGAATCGATTAAATCGTACGCTATAGATATAAACATTGCTCGAGTTTTTTTTCTTTATCTTACCTTATATCTTTCACATTTATCTTTTTTTTTCCTTCGAACAGTCAATTTAGCGTATTAATATGTCTTCAACAATTTCAAAAGTCGAAAGATATAATAATTTTCATTTATAAACGAAATGCCTATCACATATTTTTCATTATTATTATTATTATTATTATTATTATTATTATTATTTGTGTGTTTTACAATATTATTAGTGTATTAATGGCTTGTTGAACGATTTTCAACATAGTAATGGTATATTAAAATATTATCTTTTTTTTTTTTCTTTTTTTTTTTTTTTTTTGATACCTTCAATTCCCCGTGAGATATTTCATCGTCTCCGTTTAAATTTAACAACCTGTATAATTAATGTATATAGTGCAAAGTATATTGTATATAGTGCAACACGATGGAGACCTTATTTCATTTACGTCGAATGCATTAAGGGAAGTCCGTTTCAGAGGAACAGAGTCGACACAAAGCGGCGTTTTAATGGCGCCATCGCGAACAGAATCGATAAACGTGAAGCTTATTGTAAAACGAAGATAGAATATTATATATATATATATATATATATATATATATATATATAAAACAAAAAAAAACAAACAAAAGAAGAAGAAGAAATAGAGGGGGGAAAAAATGAAAGAAAAAGTGATAAATAATAAGAAAAATAATAGAGTGAGTCGTTAAAGAAATGTTTATGAAATATTTTCGAAAAATTCGTGGTATAATTCGATAGATATCGAGTTTCCAATTTTTTTGCTTAACGTCTCAACCCAGTTTTATATACAACTTGTCGAATGCACGTCGAATATTCTTCGAAAAGAATACGAGGGAATTTCGAAAAGGAAGGAAATTCGAATTTGACAGGTTCGAGTGTAAAAAGAGAGAGATAGGGAGACAGGAACATAGAGAGACAACCAGACAGACAGACAGACAGACAGACAGACAGACAGAGAGAGAGAGAGAGAGAGAAAGAGAGAGAAAGAAGGAAAATCAGTAGAACGAGATAAATGTGAATATAGCGAAGCGAACGCGGTCTGTATTGAGAAATATTCTATTTCAATAAAGTGGTGTTATATTATAACTCGAATGTGCGAATCGATCATCGCAAAAATATGAACGATTCAAAAGAGAGAAAGAGGAGAGTGGGAGAGAGAGATAGAGAGAGAGAGAGATAGAGAGAGAGAGAGAGAGAGAGAGAAGAGGACACAATGATGAAGAGAAAGAGACGTGCAAGGGGGAAATACGAGATAGTGGACAATACGCGTTCGCATCTGCCTTGCAAATCGGAGTGAATATTTAAATTCGACGTATCTATCAAACGTACCAAATCGTTCCCTAGCTAGATTCTATGTAACACCGTAGGGGCTCGCTTCAAGCGAGATAGTGATTAAATCGTACGGCAAAATTTAATTCAACGTTAGGTTACATTAGTCGAGAAAAGAAATTGGTTTATTCGTTGTTTGTAATTTTTTTTTTTTTTTTTACTATTGTTGTCATGTTCACGTTTCTCGTATTTCGTTTGTAAATAAACCATGTAACGTCATTATTATTAAAAAATTCATTCGATATTTAAATCTCTCTTTATCTTCTTCTTCTTTTTCTTCTTCTTCCTTTATTTTTTTTTTCTTTTTTTTTTTTTTCTTCCTTCAACCCTCTTTTATAATATTATTCTTAAATAAATACTTTTATTCATATAATATGTAAATTGAAAAACATTCCTTTATAATCGGTACTAATTGTATATTTATTATTCATATAAATGTATCTCTTTTTGTTCTCTTTTACAAATGCCATTTTGTTATTTTAATCCCTTTAAGGTGATGACGTTCTGAAGAATCTTTTTTGTTTTATTCAGTCGTCAGGGATATAGGGTGGAAATATAAAGGAGAATTATACAAGTCAGACAAAAAGAGAAAGAGAAAGAGATATACACGCACACACATACGTTAAAATATACTCACCGATCCAATGCAGCTTCCTGTTGACAGTGAGCAGCATAAGCGACCGTCAATCCCTTGTGACATCTCTCGGTCTGCATAGCGGACACATAAAATACGAAGTCCGCGCCGTCGATTCCGGGACCGGCTTTACTTCCTTCCGCCACCTGACAATTGTGACCCACTGCGTTGCAAATTCTGCACACCTGCGATCGCAAAATTCAAGGTATCAACGCGGAAATTCACGCCTTCCGCTTGAGAGCCGATCGAGAGCCGGCTAATAAATATTCATCGCCGTTATCGTTTCCTCGATAATTCATTTCTAAAACGTTCGTTATCGGATAAATTAATCGACGGAAGTTAGATATATCTAGGATGATATAAGATTAAGCCATTGTAACGATTATTGCAATTAAAAAAATTATTAAGAAAATTTTTATTTTCTAAAAAAAAAAATTATCATTTAATTTTCCACAACGATATCGATAATTTTTAATGCCCGTAAAATTTAAAAATGTTTCCTTTGTCCGTATAGAAAATTAATAGGATCGATGGGAGAAAAATTTCACAAATTCGCATACACGAAGAAAAATTATCGTACATATCATAAATATTTTCTAAAGAATAATATTTATCATTATAGAAAATTAGAAATAAAATAAAGAGAGAAAGAATATTCTCGTATCGTTTACAGCAATTCATAAACGATTTCGAAATCCGATCTCAATCGAGTTGAGGTACTTACTTGGGGAAAGGTAGAATAATGGCGGCCGGGGGAGTATATAAGCGAGAAGAGATCTCACACGATGAACGCTCATAAATAAGCGCTCGGGTTCTGCGCTAGTTCGAAGTAGGGTAACCGCGTTATCCATTAGCGTTACGGAGTGTAATAGTCGTAGTAGGATAAGGACGAAGTAAATAATTTTGCGTAGTTCGTTAATCTTCTCTATGAAAGTACGTCGAGATAATAAGTTATTCGTCTTTAATTCTTTTTGGGGCCAATTAACGTCGCTCAATGTACTCTTAACTTTTCTTTTACAGCTGTGATAAAAGATCTCTCGTAGATCATTAACGAAGATCGATCGATTAAATATAATAGAAAAAAGAGAGAGAGAGAGAGAGAGAGAGAGAGAGAATACACCGGCGAATGAAAAAAAAGAACTTTTAAATTTCGAATTTTAATATTAGACTTCGATAAGACCGATTTGTTCTAAAGGAAGTTTACTTTTGTTTATTTATTTGTTTAAATAATTTCCACACGATCGGTTTGAAAATTAGAATTTGATTGGTACCTATAAATATACGAAGTAAAATTATCAACCATATCTCGATTGATCAGTCAAGTAGAATTTGGCCCGAAGTCGTAATGAGCGCCTTGTATCTTGCGTTCCGAGAAGCTCATAAATTAGTAGCTTAATTAGCGTTACTTCCCTAGGTAATGAGTAATTACTTACGTCAAGATGGTCCTCTGGGACGACCACCTCTCCGCACATGGTCGTTGAACGGCAAGTATCTATGCAGTGAGTGTGATGATCTTGTACGAAGACCTGACTACTCTCGCATTTCCTGAAACGAGTAAATCAATATTTTAAAACATGATTCCTTTGACATCCATGTATAAGTTTATCTTATATAAAAAGGAAAGATGAAAAATCACAAAAGAGAATTATGGGAAAAATTTCTTTTTCTTTTTTTATTTTTTTCAAAGGAACGAAGAGACTAAAGAAATTTTGCTTTTAATCGAGAGAAAAGAAAGAAAGAAAGAAAGAAAGAAAAAAAGAGTGCGAATAATAATAAGAAAAAAAAAAAATTCGAAAGAGATACTCGCGTGGAACGATAAGCAATAAGAAACATTTACGTATTTTCGATTTTTCGTTTTATAGAAACGAAAGTGCTGAGCGCTGTTACTACTGTGGCTGATGCTACTTCTTCACCCTCTTTGATCTTATTGTCCCGTTCTCGAGTTTTCTCTCGGTATTGTCTTCGCGTTCTTTCACGTTGAGAATTTATTAAAGAGACTGCTCTTTCTTTACTTTTTCTATCTGTTCTTTCTTTTTTTTTTTTTTTTCTCATCTTCTTTTTCTTCCCTTCGCACGGACGATCCTCGAATAGATCTTAGAGACATTCACGTTCAGAAAGAAAAAGTCGATTTTTAATTAAGACCTTAATTAAGCTTCTTATCCGAGAAATTCGAAGTTTATGTAATACGAACGACGCGACGCTCGAGTTCCAAACTCGATAATTATAATCGAGACAGTCGGATAAATTCCTTCGTAAGGTAGAAATAGTTCTACAGACCTTTTGACCTTTTTCCTTATGACTACGAGTTAATATTCTCAGAAGAAAAGTTTTCGATTAATTATACGAGAACTTTTTAATATACAGTATCCTTTTATTTTCACCTCGATCATTATCGAAGCTCGTAATTTTTCTTCTTTTCTTTTTCCGTTTTTCTTTTTTTTTTTCTTTTTTTCTTTTTTTCTTCTTTTCTCTTTTCTTTTCTCATATTTCCATCAATTAAAAATCCCGTTATCGTTATCACAAATACATTGTATTTATTTCAAGTAAATATATTATTATTAATAAATTGAGAAATTGTATATGTATTATATTTAATTTTATTTAAATTCATATAAAATCGTTATGTGAACAATGTAAACGTTACAATCTGATTTAATCAATCAAAATTGTAAAGTTCTATAATATTGTTAGTCAAACTATTTGTTTTTCTATGAAAGGATAAAGGTATATCCTTCTTGAAAAGAGAGATCTTAAGGTAGGTTATATTCGATAGGAAAGGTGAGGAGAGAAGATCGATGCGTAACCAGAATATCTTTCGATAGGTCGAAAATGGCTGCTGTGGGACGATATTGACCAGAGGTTGTATACTTTTATAGGATAGAAGTAAGTACATACTATATGTACGTAGAAAGGGATGACGGTTGAGAAACCAAAGGAAAAGAATAAAGAGGACTCTAGGGGAAGGAAAACGGACAGAGTGGAACTAGTATTAAAAGAAAAAGAAGAAGAAGAAGAAGAAGAAGAAGAAGAAGAAGAAGAAGAAGAAGAAGAAGTAGAAAAAGAAGAAGGAAAAGATGCACTTCGCTAAATAAACGTCCTAGCTAGTTCGTGTTTGAAGACTCTCCTAGAGAGACGTAAACGTTGCAGTATGAATTGCCTCGAAACTCTTACACACACACACACATACACACACACACACAAACAGATACACAAACACACACACATACACATATATATATATATTGATCTTTATTTTTCAAATAATTCACGAATACGAAAACTGGCAACAAGTTAAACGTTATTTTCCAAACATTCGAGAAATTGATCGATCTATTATCACGTATATTTCATCATCCTTAAGATTAATAACTAATTACGAACTATTTTGCAATCGAATCGATCATTTGATTAATAACGAATATTCGTTTCGATATATGTCTATTTCATTATAATCGACATTTTACAATGGTGAACTAAGTGATTTGTAACACAGTGAATAAAATTACGAAATATATGATATTTTCGGAGAATGTTTCGTGCTTTACGACTGTCATCGCAAATATTTTCGTTAATGGAGAGAACGTAACGTTTTGTTCGCATAAAGTTTGTAACGTTGCGTTGAAATGATATGAATGTATTTTCCTAAAATTACGATAAAACCTTTCATCTTGTTTTTCGTATCGAATACGTTGGACGTTAGTAAGGAAGAAAAGTCGAAGTTGATAGAATTGTGTAAAAAGTTCATCGTATTTGGAATTTAATTAGTACGAAACGGGATATAATACCTACATCGTACGTAAAGTAAATCGGTTTAATTAAAATCGATGCTCTCGATGTTGATGTTGGTGAGGTAACTAACGCACAAAAAAAAAGTGGATAGGTAAAAAAAAAAAAAAAAAAGAAAAAAAAAAGAAAAAAAGAGAGAAAGAGGGAAATAGGATTTCGGGTTTGGATTCCAACAGTTTGGATCTCACTTTGATTCGAAAGAATTCTTTAAGCGGATGCGCTTAAAAATCTAATTTCGTCGGAAGGTTCAGACGATTATTAAATTCCTCGTCGTACGTACTTGAAGGAGAAAATTTCGCTAGTCGTAGGAAACTTTTAATTATTACGCTTTTTGAATCGGAAATCTTTTGAAAGAGACATCGAAAAACTTTCATTAACTCTCGTACAAGTTGAAAGACAATAGGTTACGTGATGTAGTATCAACGTTGGATCAAAGTAACGATCATAAAATGACTTTATCGGTTTTATATATCATCTTTTTATATCTCCGAATGTATTCCATAGAGCGTATAGATGCAAACGTGTCTAGACAATCGTTTATGTTCTACTTAATTTTTTCTTTTTTTCTTTTTTCTTTTATTTTCTTTTTTTTCCCCCATCGTATTAAATGTTCCTTTCGATCTTTATTTCGGGCATATCGAGATTAATCTTGAAACGAGTAAAACGTTTAACGTGTAAACGTTAAACGAGCAGCCAACTCTTGTGGCAAGTGTAATTCTCTGAATCCACTTACGAGACTCACCCTACGTCCTTTCTCCATTTTCTCGAGACATTTTAGGTAAGGGTAGGCCGATGGAACTAAGAAGCTACGTTCCCTTTCGGTTTCACGACGGAAGACAAACTCGCGTAATTTTCTTCGATAAGCCGATATCGCGTCGACTTCTTGAGACTCCTCGAAATTGTAAGATTCTATCTCAACGCGAATTTATCTCGATAGAGAATAGATAGATAGTTAGAAAGAGATATAGAGAAGGAGAGTGAGAAAAGAGGGTCTAGAAGAGGCCTTCTACGTTCACTCGCTACTCGTCTCGTATATTCTCTTTGAGATCGCTTCGTGAGGGTAATGTTCTGTAGATTTTGTACGTCTATATATGTATGTATATATGTATGTATGTATGTATGTATGTATGTATGTATGTATATATGTATGTATGTATGTATGTAGAAGAGAGAATCAAAAGGAAAGTAAAGGAAAAGAGAAAGGAAAAGAAAAGGTGCTTGATGCTGAAGAAGAAGGGGACATACTCTAAACGAAAACGGTAAATTGCCTGGAAACCGCTCGAGTATTTACAGAGGACGTCGTTTTCCCGCTATGAACTAAGCCGCTCAATTCCGAGACTTCCGATCCGAGCCTCTTTCCGCCGCCATTTCCCGAAATCGAACTCCTAAATCTTACGAAATTTAAGTCCTATCTTCTTTCAACGATCTACCAGGAAATACTGCGTTATGTATATTCCAGCAGTATTTAAGGTGGCGTAATAAAATTTACAAGAATTACCATAATCGATTATAAAATTAGAGAAAAATAATATGCTACGTGGATACGTTTGATTTTGTTTGTTATATTATCGTTTTAATGCTATTTTCTTTTTCTTTTTTTTTTCCTTTTTTTTTTTTTTTTTTTTCTTTTTTTCTTTTATTCTATCTTAAAATGTTCCTATTAATTATATGGAAATGTAAGAGAAATTTAGAACGTTACGTTAATCTTTTAAATCCAATCTGTATATCTTGTAAACGTAATAATACTTTAGAGTCACATTTTAGCTATCTCTTTTGAAAATTTAAGAACCAGGTTCGTTCTAGCATGAAAAAGGTTCGATATCGATAGCACCTCATCGTCGTTGTCGTCACAAGCTTGAAAATCCGGATCGCTCAGCTGCTTTTATCCGACTCACCGAGCGTAATTTCTTTGTAATCCGCGAAGGAAGAGCCTCTTTCTCGAGCATGGAGAAAAATTCAGAGGGGGTTGGGTGGAAAGCGTTCGGAAAGCTCCGTTGGAAGTTCGTCGTTAGCTTAAAAGAGCAGAAGCGAGCTTTTCGAAAGCATTATCACTCGAGCTTGCACTTACTCCAAGCTTGCAACATCGACGCTGCTGGATTTGTCGTTGGTGACACGCTTTCTGCATTACCGAGAAGGCTCGCGTTGAAGAAAGACTTCTCACGGCTGTCCTCCTTCTCCTCTTCCTCCACCATCTCCTCCTCCTTCTCCTCTTTCTCCTCCACCACCTCCTCCTTCTTCACCACCTCCCCTTTTTACTAACTTTTGCTTTTCCTATCTCTCATCATTTACGAATTTGCACGTAAAGGAATTCATCCAATAATAATGCTTTTCGAACTTTTCAATGTCACGTCAAAACGCACGTTACACTACTTAATGTTAAATTTATAACGAAGTATTTAAAATTACTTTTCAATTTCTTGATATAAGAATTATCGAAGCACTAATGCCATTTGAAAAGTTTCGCGGCTTTCTTTCTTTCTTTCTCTCTTTCTTTCTTTCTTTCTTTTTTCTTTTTTTCTTTTCCCCCTCTTTATTATTTTTATTTATAGATAAATTTCATTTTTAAAGTGAAAAGGAACGAATGAAAAAATCTGGAAAACTTTTCAAATAATTATAATAGTTAAAATAATCATGTTACTCATGTTTTCTAATTTCTTGATTAACAATTATTAAAGGTGATGATTATTAAAAATCATTTATCATTAATTTACTTATTAAAAAGTAAAATAAATATATAAAAGAAAAATAATATATTTCGA